GCACTTTGCCTAATGGGGCTTTCCGCTGCCGATGCCCTTCCACCGTTCGGATTCCGTTCTTAGACCGAGGTAAAGTTTGCAAATCTGGACAGTACTTCCTGTTTTGCGGAGTTCGTAAACCAAATCGTTCGTAAACAGGAGTGTTCTTTGTGAAAGTCCTTATCTTTCTCCTCTTGGAGAAGCTCATTGTCAAAACTTCATTGGCAACCATTAGTTGATTGTGTCATTCATTGTTTTTTGTTTTTGTTTAAAAGAAGTTAATTGTTATCCATTGTTTTTCACTGTATCCCTCAATTATCCTTGCTCGTTGATATGGATGAATGGCACCATGCAATTAAACAAAATGTAACATAATATAATATCCCACCCTAATGGATGCCTTTCCGTCTCTTCTTGGCAGTGCTTCCTATCATTCTTTTCCTGAGCCTGAGCAATGAAGTCATAATGGTTGGTACCCAGAAGGACAATTGTCTTACTCGAATTACCCAAATACATTGCATTAGAGCACAGTAGGAGTAATTAGGAATTGCCTGCTTCTTTGCGCTACATAAATCGCTAATGTTTCAGAAAAGGTCAGTTGTACCAAAACTGCACATACACCATACATTTAAGCACACCTCCCACCAAAAAGAAATTGATCCTCGGAATGGTGGTATACCTCTCATGGAGCTACAGTTCCCTTAACACCCTTAACACAACACAGGGCGCCCACCCTGTGGAACGCCCTCCCATCAGATGTTCTAAACTTTTTGACGTTTAGAAGACATCTGAAGGCAGCCCTGTTTAGGGAAGTTTTTAATGACTGATGTTTTAATGTATTTAACTCTGTTGTTGAAAACAGCAGCAGGAGACTTTTTCAGGTGGTCCGCAATTTAGCGGAACCACCTGCTACATCGGGGCCCAGTACGGGCCACATGATCTCCTGCAATGATTTTGCAAAGTTTTTTTGCCGATAAAGTCGCTCAGATTCGGGAAGAGGTAGACGCCACCGTGGGAGCAGGGCCAGGGCGGGAGAGTGCTAGAGTCCTGTCTAGTCAAATTGCGTGGGATCAATTCCAATCTGTTACCTCCGAGGATGTGGACAGGCTGCTTGGATGAGTGAAACCAACCACCTGTCTCCTGGATCCTTGCCCATCCTGGCTTATAAAAGCTAGCCGGGAAGGGCTGGGCGATGGGCTTCGTGGGGTGGTGAATGCTTCCCTCCGTGAGGGAACCTTCCCAGACCCGTTAAAAGAGGCGGTTATTAAACCGCTTCTTAAAAAACCATCTTTAGATGCGGCCACGATGGCCAACTATCGCCCAGTCTCAAATCTTCCATTCTTGGGCAAGGTGATTGAGCGAGTGGTTGCTGAACAACTCCAGGCACGCCTGGAAGAAGCGGACCATCTGGATCCCTTCCAGTCGGGATTCAGGCCTCATCACGGGACTGAAACTGCCTTGGTCGCACTGGTTGATGATCTCCGGCGGGCTAGGGACAAAGGTGAGAGCTGTTTCCTAGTTCTGCTGGATCTCTCAGCGGCATTTGATACCATCGACCATAACATCCTTCTGGACCGTCTTGAGGGGCTGGGAGCTGGGGGTACTGTCATACAGTGGTTCCGCTCCTTCCTCCTGGGCCGTGTTCAGAAAGTGGTGGTGGGCGATGAGTGTTCAGACCCCTGGGCTCTCACTTGTGGGGTGCCTCAGGGTTCTGTCCTCTCCCCTATGCTTTTCAACATCTACATGCAGCCGCTGGGAGAGATCATCAGGGGGTTTGGGCTGGGTGTTCATCAGTATGCAGATGATACCCAGCTCTACCTTTCTTTCAAATCAGAACCAGTGAAGGCGGTGACGGTCCTGTGTGAGTGTCTGGAGGCGGTTGGAGGATGGATGGCGGCAAACAGATTGAGATTGAATCCTGACAAGACAGAAGTACTGTTTCTGGGGGACAGGAGGCGGGCAGGTGTGGAGGATTCCCTGGTCCTGAATGGGGTAACCGTGCCCCTGAAGGACCAGGTGCGCAGCCTGGGAGTCATTTTGGACTCACAGCTGTCCATGGAGGCACAGGTTAAATCCGTGTCCAGGGCAGCTGTGTACCAGCTCCATCTGGTACGTAGGCTGAGACCCTATCTGCCCGCGGACTGCCTTGCCAGAGTGGTGCATGCTCTGGTTATCTCCCGCTTGGACTACTGCAATGCGCTCTACGTGGGGCTACCTTTGAAGGTGACCCGGAAACTACAACTAATCCAGAATGCAGCAGCCAGACTGGTGACTGGGAACGGCCGCCGAGACCATATAACACCGGTCTTGAAAGACCTACATTGGCTCCCAGTACGTTTCCGAGCACAATTCAAAGTGTTGGTGCTGACCTTTAAAGCCCTAAACGGCCTCGGTCCAGTATACCTGAAGGAGCGTCTCCACCTCCATTGTTCTACCCGGACACTGAGGTCCAGCACCGAGGGCCTTCTGGCGGTTCCCTCACTGCGAGAAGCCAAGTTACAGGGAACCAGGCAGAGGGCCTTCTCGGTAGTGGCGCCCTCCCTGTGGAACGCCCTCCCACCAGATGTCAAAGAGAACAACAACTACCAGACTTTTAGAAGACATCTGAAGACAGCCCTGTTTAGGGAAGCTTTTAATGTTTGATGTATCACAGTATTTTAATATTCTTTTGGAAGCCGCCCAGAGTGGCTGGGGAAACCCAGCCAGATGGGCGGGGTATAAATAATAAATTATTATTATTATTATTATTATTGAAAGCCACCCAGAGTGGCTGGGGAAACCCAGCCAGATGGGCAGGGTATAAATAATAAATTATTATTATTATTATTAACAAACTACAGTCCTCACAATTCTTTGGTGGGTGCAAATGTGCTTTAAATGTATGGTGTTTGTGTAGCTTAAGTATTCAGGATTCAAATATTTAAGGTATCAGTCTTAGGAATCTGGTTATACAGATATTTTGCCCATCCTTGGACGTAGCTGGCTGGGGTTTCCCCAGCTGTTCTCTCACTTCCCCAACTCCCCACCCCCACCCCGTTTTTGGCTTCACATTTCTGGTTTTTAAAAATTGATTTTTAATTTCAAGTGACAAAAAAATACCCAAAACAGAACTTAGTTAGTTGTACGGAAAAGAAATAAAAAGAGCAGCTGGAGCTGTAAAGGATTTTTGATTTGTCCGAGTTTGTATAATCCCACTGGTTTAGATTCTTAGGTATATTCACTCACGGGTATTTAAAGTTGATCTTACAGAGATTCAGGCCAGTTGTCTTGTGCCAATGCTGTTGTAGGTTTGATGGGGTGTGCATTGGAATTGATCTTAAGATTTGGTGAAGTTAACAGTGAACCCAGATATCTTGCCATCTTGCCAGATATCTTGCTTTCAATGCGCCAGCTGCTCTCCCAGTTGCCATTCCTGCAAGAGGAGATGTGGAAGTTTAAGATTAAGAAATTACCAACATTGTAGTAAACACAAGGAATGCTTTATTTTCTTGGCTCAAGAACAGCAACTGAAGTATGGTATTACCTTGAAGAAGGAGGATAATCTTTACAGGAGGAAACTCAGAAAACAGGCATCCCTAAAATGTAGCTAGGAGTGACATTATTAAAAACAACAACACCAACCTTTATATTTCCACCCTTCACCATATCCATTAAAACTGCAATCCTATGTACCAGGTGGTTGTTCAATTCCAGTGGTTGTCCTTTCCAGGTGGTTGTTCAATTTGACTTAATAGGATTTCCTTCGGAATAAATGGCACAGGATTTGGATACAACTGTATTTGTGGGTGCATTGTTACTACTACTACTACTACTACTACTACTACTACTACTACTACAATTTATTGCCTGCACTTTACTCCAGTGTACCAGGAAGGGTTACAGCAATTAAAACACAGAGAAAAGGTTTGTTCACACATTACACAGACCACAGGTAAAAGCTGTCTCTACACTTGTAAAGAGTCTACACTTGTTGATCTTTACAGCTGTGTCCACAGGGGCACAAATTGTACACCTGAATGCAGTGTGTGAAAGCCCTTAATATTAGCCATTCTGGACCTACATTTTATTTTATTGATGCATATACCACTGTGTCCCAGTAATTAATATGTATGCTTGAAATGTCTAGCATAATCAGACCCCCACAAATCTTGCTGCTCACAAATCTTAACATGAAGAACACAAGGGATCTCCTCTCCTCTGAATTGCAGAGATAGATAGAGAGAAAGATGTGTGGTTGCATTTTGCAGCAGGTCAAGGTGTATTTATTTCCTTAATATATATTCTCAAAATATGTACCCCGTAAAATATTTAAGTTAACTTAAAATAGGAATAAAAAACAACAATAGAACAGGAGAACTGCAACAATACCAAAAGGACATCGTAATGAGACAAAAGCAATAGCAGCAGAAATATATGTTAAAAAGATGTTACTCTGCAAAATGTTTCTGGGGGAGAAACCGCACACACATTTTCTTCCCATCTAAAAATAACGAGCAATGGGGCCAGGCAGATCTCCCAAAGGAAGTGGTAGTGCTCCAGAAAACTTCTGCCTGCTCCAAAGGTCATCAGAAGAAGAAAATGCCTTTGCCCAGGTCCTCTGGCATTTGAAGGGAGCTGCCATGCGCATTCTGCAGCCTCTCCACAAAGGAGTAGCTCAAAGTGGCTTTTGACAGCACTTCATCAAACGATCACATGTTGTACTGGGCTTTGGAGCAGACAGAAATAGCACAAGTACTGCTTGCTGTTTCTGCCTGGTCCAAAACCCGCAACTGTGACAACCATACAGCCATATACCTTCAAAGTCCTCTACATATTCCTGAGGTCTCAGGAAAGGGTCAGGGTCAGTGGTGACCACAAATAATGGCTTACTTTATAGCATGCGCCTTAAGAAAGCTTTGGTTGATTTCCCTTTAATGATTTCCATAGCAGGGTAATCTGTGAACTGCAAGAAAGATACAGGAAGCTAATAATTACAAGTTTCTGATCAAATACATTTGTTTCTTTTCTTTCCCCACATTCAGTACTGATGGCTTTTGTTTTGCCATGGTAGAAGATGAAGACTCTGGAGGGCAGACTTTCACCACAGGCTGTATCGGGTTAGAGGGTTCTGACTTCCAGTGCCGGGTAAGAATATATTCTGAACTAGATTTGGTCTTTAGTTTTAGCTGGGAGTCAGTTTAGGTCAGGGGTAGCCAATGTGCCCTTCGGATGTTGTTGGACTGTAGCTTCCATCAGCCTCAGCCAGTGCTCAAATATGATGGGAGTTGCAGTGCAACATCTGCAGAGTACCATGCTAGTACCCTAACCTTACAAATAGTTAGGAATGGAGATATATAGTCTGTTGCCTTTCTCCTCCAGGGGAGTTAGAATGCAGGTCAGGCTGTGAATATCTTTGTAAGTCTTTCCAGTGGTCCATAACACAGGCAAGCAGAAGTCAGCAGAGCACTAACAGGTCGGAAAGCCCAGCAGGAATCCTCATTTTGCAAGATGATACCATCTTTCTTGGAAGCAGAGTCCTATCACAGGCAATGGGACCCACTTTGAGATACAGCGTTTAAGAATGGGCTCATAATGTTTCTGTGCTACTTATTTAAATGCCCCTCTCAAGAGCTCAGGTGCAATATTTAGTGCACAATCATATGCATGCTTACTCAGAAGTAAGTCCACGGTATTAAGAGAGGCTTACTCCCTAGTAAGATGTTCAGGACTGCTGCCTTAATGCTTTAAATGAAGGTGAAGTATGAAATGTAATCGGGGTGAGCCTGATTCATTTAGCCTTTGCATCTACCCTCCTTACCCTGCGTGCTGGTTTGTATACAGGAGTTGCCTGCTCCCAGCCCCCTTTCTCCATGACATAGAATGCTGCCATTGTACCAGGTCAGGCAATTTTTAGGTCACTAAGACATTTGTCCCTACCTCTGTGTTCCCATATTGCCACCCTGTGACAACTTGCCCACATACTGATTGCTCTAAGAAAATGAAGAGGGGTTTTCTAGATGCTAATAGTTTTCAGGACTGGATACAGACCTATGTTGTCACCCCTCATGTAAAGTCCCCTTCTGCATTAGGCTCAGAAGCAATATACATGTTCAGAAAACCCACACAGTTGTGTACCATTTCAGGTTAAAAACGGTATATTTGAATTCTTGTTCACTTGAAAAACAACAGCAACACCTTCTGTGAACATAGAAAGCTAACAGAGAGAGGAGGAGGCTATAGCTATTGTCCCTTACATACTAATTTTCCTTGTGCAGGGCTTTTTCTGTAGGCATTCAATAATGCATTTCCCCCACTTATATTCTGAAGTTGTCTAAGCCTAGAAGAACAGTACCATTTGCTTTCTCTGAATATATTGAGAACCCAGATTTAAGCTTTGCCCTCCATCGAAAAACGAAATGGTAAAAACGACACCTGTTTATTAAACTGTATCTAGGTCTAGATTGTTATATAGTTTAAAAGGAATGGTCATCTAGGTTTTTTAAAAGCACATTAAGGTGTTAGCACATGCATGGTTTTTCACATCTGAAAGCTTTCAGCGTTTCTAATGCCTTTTGGATGTGGACAAAGCTGCTCATAACTATTATCTGTTGCAGGACACACCACTGTCCCAACCGAGAAGATTAATTGAATGCTGCACAGATCAGGATTACTGTAACAAAGATCTTCACCCTACGCTGCCACCACTGATAAAAGGAGGTAACGGAAGAGGCAAATCTTTAATTTCCAATCTGCATATTGCTTTTCTTTCTAGAAAACAAAAACTGCAGATGACGTTTTCAGTGCCAGTGGCAACATTTGCAGTGTAAGCATTCCGGGCGCACTGTTTGCTCATCCAGCTATAACATTTCTAAGATGGGTTTCCGATGAAAAAAAGATTTGTTGATGCTTCAGAGTCAAGAAAAAAATATCATTCCATTATACATCCTAAAAACACAATATTTGTTTTTATCCAGTTATTTTATTGGTTAATGGGCTTGGGTTTGAGTTTCTCAAAGCAGAATCCATTTTCTAATTCTGACTGAACCTTTTTTACCTCGAAGTAGACATTTCCTCCTGAAAACGTTTTCAACTGTGTGAAAATTTATCTCTTAAAAAATCCTATTTGGGGCCTTTTCCCCATTAACTTGATAGATAGATAGTGATGTGTGGTTTTTCTCTCTCTCTCAATCTCTTTCTCTCTCTCTTGCATAATACTAGAAGCCAGGGCCCATGTAATGAAGATGAATGGTGGAAGATTCGGGGCGGCGGGGGGTGGGGGTGGTCGAGGAGATACTTCTTCATGCAGTACATTAATTGAATCATAGGATTCTCACCTTAAAGATGTGGTGATGGCCACCAACTTCAGTGGGTTTAAAATGGGATTGGATGACTCCATGGAAGATAAGGGTATCAATTGGCATTTGTCGTGACCGTTGTATGCTACCTCTAGGATCAGAGGAAGTATGGGCTCTGAATCCTGGTTGCTGCAAAACAACAGCAGGAGAGTGCTACGGACCTCACACTGTGCACCTGAGCTTCCCACATGCATCTGGTCTAGATAGGCCTTTGGTTTGACCCAGCATGGCTCTTAAGTTCTTGTTGCTTAAGTTGCTGCATTAGGACTGTTTTGAGAGTCATGCCTCCCTTCCCCCAGCAGTGCTGCTTCTTCCTCCCTCCTGACTCACCTATATTCATCATCTACCCAATCAGGAATCATTCAGCAAATGGGTTGATGTCTCGATCCTTCATAGCCAATCAGATTTGGCTGCCCAGTGACACATGTGAGGGCTAAGTAAGGCTGCAGTTTTAACCCCTCTCATCTGGGAGTAATCCCCATTGAATTCAGTGCGACTTGCTTCTGAGCAGACAGCATTGGAAAATGACGTTTCTGGTTCGAGTGCCATAACAGGTACACTGATCGGGTTAGTGGAGACAGGAATACTTAAGTGTAGCCCTGCAGTTGGAACCTTCCAGCAAAGAAAGTGAAGTTGGTGATGGTTTGGAATCACCTAAAGATGGGGGGTAGGTCTGCGGTCTCTTAAGTCCCCATCAAATTCAGTAGCTAAACAATTAAATGACATCTATCAAGATTGAAGCATGACCTCTGGCACCAATATGAATGCTTAGGAGATGGAAGTGTCATATGGAGGCAAAGTGCATAAAACCATAGGGGCATTGATAAAGTTCTATTACAATAAGGGAAGGCAATTGGTTGAAGCTGCCCTAAAGATATTTGGTAGCAAAATGCTTATCCAAATGCTCTGAGGTGTTGAAATTTAGGGCTCTGATTAGAACGCCATTAAAGTTTTGGAAGCTGTGCAGAATATTTTCCCCAGAAGGTATATTCTCTACCATCAAGAGTATGAGCATCTCTTGTTTTGTAGAGAACCCAGGTGGCCAACAATTAAGGCAATAGCAGTCTGTGCTCAGTTAAAGTATATTTAAGAAATTGCTACTATGCCTATTGAGCATTTTCCTGCCTTGTACTATATGGAATTGGGCGATAAGCAACTCTGGAAAGCAGCTTGTCAAGCTGTTTTAGACTATTAATATTTCCCAGAACTGAGCTTTGCTTTGACCTTGAAGAAGCGTCAACCAAGGGATTGGCTCCTTCAGATAGAATCCAGAAGGGACCTGCAACTAATTAGAAACACCAAATTTTCCCCTTGGTTGGAGCAGACATGGTTAGGATTGCAACTTAAATTAATAAATGCCCAATTTCTCAAGGAATGTTGACAAATTGCCATAAAGAGGACACTTTCAGCACTGCTACAGATGTTAACAAAAGCCAGTAGTAGTTTTGGCTCATTTCTGCATAAATTCAAAACAGGCGACTGTCCAAGAGAACATACAAAGAAAATCTCATTGTCACCCTTTTCCTTATTTTGGAAAGTACCTTACCAAAAACTATTTTCTAACACAAGTGTCTTTCTGTGGGCATGTGAAAAACAGAATAGATGTTGCTTCTGATTCAGGAGTCGTATGACTAGGGTCACATCTCAGGGGATGCTAAGGTCTAAGGAGGTCTTCCAGCTGTAGGTCAGAGGTGGTTGAACTACAAATTAACCCAGGCACAGAGGTGATGTCAGCAAAAGCAAGGACATTGTTCGCTGAGAGTGCTTTTCTGTGCCTTGAATGTGCTAGAAAGGGAAAGGATAGTTTTCAAAAAATATATATGAAAGGAACAAAGGAGTTCTGTGGACTTGGGTATTTCAGAATGTGGAGTTAAAGCTAACCCGCCCTGAGAGCAAGGAAAGTCTTAGCATGTAGGAAGGAATATAAACACACAACAACAATTCAGCCACACTCCCTGCTCACTCTTCTGAATAGCTTCCATGCCCAGCAAATAAAATAAAAACATCCTGATGAGTACAAGAAGACCCTGTGCTGGGCAGGCAGTCTGCTTATTAAGAAAGCAGGAAAAATAATCAGATCCCAATATAACATTGCCATTTTAAACAATAAAAAATATATTACTGGAAACCCCAATGAAAAGGCAGACTGCAGGGAGATGAGAGGAGAGATCCGTCTTTACTGATTTAACGCCCTTATAAGCAGAAGTGTTGGTGCCACCATGTCTGGCTCGCAGTCTCTATAGCTGGTGATTGAATGAGCTGGGCAGTGATGACTGAGGAAAGGATGGGGTTTGATATGTGTACTGCATCCCACAGTCCTGGCCCCAGGTTGTTGTTGTTGCTGCTGCTGCTGCTGCTGCAGTAAGCCCTGTGCACATTGTAAACCTGGGGGAAGATGTAGCAAAGGGCTCACAGTACACCAGGAAGTTCTCCTTGCTGAAACCGAGTAGGAATTGCAAGAGGGAAGCTCCTATTCCCTTTGCTGGGGCTTGCCCCACCAACATCTCGCAAGTAAAAATTAAAGGAATGATTCACTCCCAAGTCCTTCTCAAGCCCTCTCCAGTTTTTCACAGCTGCTTCACGTGATTAGAAGCAAAGCTGAGTGTATGTGTACGTACAATGCATACAGTCTGCAGCAGGGGTAGCCAACGCTGTGCGCTCTAGATGGTGTGGGCTGTCAAAAGTGTTCTAATAGTGCTGTAAGTGTATGGTGCAGATGAGGCCTTATTGACCTCGGATCTGAAAATCAGATTTGTGTTGCCAGGCACAAACCACCCTATTCTCAGCTGTGCGATACCCTTCTCTCATCTTCAAGCCTTCCTTATCCCCTTGCAGACAGACTGGAACATGTTTACAACTATTACAAGCCGTGTGCATTGGAGATAAATGGCTTGCAGAAGTATAGGCCTGATTAACAATGAAAACTGAGCGTTTGCTTCCCTGCCTGTCTTGCCCCCAGTAGCAGCCTCTTCCTTCATAGCGACAAGTGATCTCCCTGGCGGATTCTCAGTTTCCCGTCCCCCTTATTCGTAGCGATGGCTCAGGTACAAATCTGCTGGCCTAGCGAGAATACAGCACGCTAGTGTTTTCCCGGTTGCCAGTGTCTCCTTACAAAAGGGATTACAAAAAGTGACGGCAGTGTCTTGAATGTTTATGCCACTAATGCGCTAGTAGCAGGTAATGTTAGGTTAAAACACTGAGCCTGGTGCTAACAGGAGAGACATTGTTTGCCAGCCTCTTACATTAGGAGCAAGTGAGAAGGAAAACGCCGCTGTTCAGTGGCCAAAATAGAAGAAGAAACCAGAGCTTGGAAATAAAATAAAAGTGCATAGTGGAAAGCTGAGAGTCCCCATGGAACTTCCCTTTCGCATCACTCTAGTAAACCTGAAATGCAATAGCCCCTGTTCCAGGAGAGATCAATCAGAATAGAGTTCTCACAGCTTATGCCCTGCTCATCCTTATCTTGGAAGATAGAACCTGCTTCTGATCCCAAGTAACCAGACGCAACGTCGGATATGTTAGCGCGTTGTGGATATAGAAATTCACACCCGTACTGGAGAAGGTTGCTTTCCCAGAATATCTTGGTGCCTTGATCCACATAAGTGGATGCTGGCAAATTTCAGAAATTGGGATGTGTGTGTCCCTGTCCATCTGTGTTTGGCATACACAATTCCACAGCAGAAGCAGCTGTGGCAGGGGAGCCATCCTCCAGACAGTGGCTTTGCTACTTTTACTGGAACAGCATAGAACTTTATAGGCACACTAGCAATGCTAATCTGCTGCTCTTGCTGGTGGTGTCCCTGCATAGCCTTGACCTTGCCACTGCTCTGACGTGCTCCTGTGCCACCTCACATACTGTGCTGGCCTTTCCTGGCAGTTAGCAAACTTTCAAGCCACTCCAGGCCAGGCTGGACCCTTTCCGAGTTTCTGCTGTTGGACGATGGCTGTTTATTTTCATTTATCTTTAAATATACTGTATTTTTCCATTGTAAGACTAGTTTTTTTTTTAACCTAAAAATTAGGTTTAAAATTGGGGCTTATACACAGGTAGTGCTGAGGGGTATTTTCTTAATTTGGAGTCCCCCAAAATCAGGGGGTGTCTTATACATGGGGGCATCTTATACACAGGAAAAATGTGGTATATATCCTTAGGTTTGTTTTATCATGCTTGCAAGCCGCCTCAAACACTTTGGGGGGGGGGGGAGAGAAAGAATGAGAGTAAGTGGCTTAAGGGAGATAAATGCAGTTATTACCTACCTGCTAAAAGTCCTTTTGTTTTGTTTCAGGTTTGGAAGAGGGAAATGTCCATCACAAGGCCTTACTGATTTCAGTGACCGTCTGTAGTGTCCTCCTAGTGCTTATCATCATATTCTGTTACTTCAGGTACGGTCCAGAAAAGCTTGGTCTCCCCCCCCCCCCGGTAGCTGTTTCTTTCTGCCATTCATATTTCGAGCTTCTGATCTATACAGATGCAGTGGTTGGTTTGGAGATTTTATTTTAAAAATCCTATGTATCCTAGTAATGCTGAGATTACCTAAATGTTATTGGGAGTACTGGTGGTGCAAATGAGCTTTGTTATTAGGCTGCATTCATATGGCAGTTTATTCATTTTTCAAGAAATTCCCCTAACGGTTGATTTCCACATTATATTTGAGCTTCCACACGACGTAAAAGCCGCTTTTGGAACTATACTGGAAGTTTAGCACTAGTTTCCGTATTACTTGCAAACTGATTTTTTCCCCTGGAAGCAAATAGCATGGACATGAGCACTAAACTTCCACTGTATTCCACTATAGCTCCAGAAGAGACTTTTATGTGTTGCTAAAGCTCAAATCGCTGTGGGTTAAACCACAGAGCCTAGGACTTGCCGATCAGAAGGTCGGCATTTCGAATCCCCGCGACGGGGTGAGGTCCTGTTGCTCGGTCCTTGTTCCTGCCAACCTAGCAGTTCGAAAGCATGTCAAAGTGCAAGTAGATAAATAGGTACCGCTCCGGCGGAAAGGTAAATGGGGTTTCCATGTGCTGCTCTGGTTTGCCAGAAGCGGCTTAGTCATGCTGGCCACATGACCCGGAAGCTGTACACCGGCTCCCTCGGCCAATAAAGCGAGACGAGCGCCGCAACCCCATAGCTAGTGCCAAGTTGGTTGGTTGGTTGGTTTGTGCACTGGTGTCCAAACTTTTTTCAAAGAGGGCCAGATTTGATGAAGTGAAGGACCGTGAGGGCAGACAGCTTTTTTAGGGTTGAAGTTGTTGAGGTTTTTTTACCCCAGGAAATAAACTACCACAGGGGCCGGATTCAACTAACTGGCAGGCCGGATTAGGCCCCCAAAACAGACTTTGGACATGCCTGCTGCATTTATGTCCCCTCTTTCCTCCAGTGTGCCCACGTTGGTGTACCTTGGATGTAGGTTGGTGTAGGTTAGGCTGAGAGACAGTGACAGGGGCCGACTTTGATTTTTCTGATTTTAGTGGCACCCCTGTGCGAGGCCAAAATTTGCCTGCCCCTGTTCCTCTCACCTTCTGTTCTGCTCTATTCACAACATCACCTTGCAGCACCCCCTAGGCTTGGTGCTCAGTGCGGCAGAACCGGTTGCCCTGCCCTAAGTGACTGGCCCAAGGTTACCCAGTGATGGGGTGGGGATTTGGACCCTGGTCTCCCAGGTCCTAGTCCAGCACTCAACCACTACACCACATGGGCTAGAGCCAGGGGTGGACCAAACACAACCAGCTAGGCTTTCCTATTTGGTCTGCCAGAGCATTCACAAGAAGCATTGCCCACTCACCATACACCTGATACCAGATGATGAGCAGGTAAGGGTGGGGATTTAAAGGAACAACTGGGAACCTAAAGTGGACTCCTGAAGGTTCTTTTGCTGGAGCAAGGTGTGCTCCCACCAACTGATACTGGCTTTATTGGGAAGGACTGTTGCTGCTGGTCTGTCCCATCTTACTAATTCATCCTTCAACCTGATGCCCTTGCACTGTAGTCCACCTGGATAGCTCAGTCAGTAGAGCAGTGTTTCCCAACCTTGGGCCTCCAGCTGTTTTTGAACTACAATTCCCATGATCCCTGACCACTGGTCTTGCTAGCTAGGGATGATGGGAGTTGTAGTCCAAAAACAGCTGGAGGCCCAAGGTTGGGAAACACTGCAGTAGAGCACAAGACTCTTAAATCTTTGGGTTGTGGGTCTGAGGCCCACGTTGGGCAAAATATTCCTGCATTGCAGGGGATTGGACTAGATGACCCTCGGGACCCCTTCCAACCCTACAATTTTATGCTTCATCACCTAAAACAACTCCCATCAGCCTCAGCCAATATGCTGTGGCAGCTGTAGTCCAGAACATGTGGAAGGCACCAGGTTGAGGAAGGTTATGGTAGCTGATTTTATATATTATAAAGTGGCAGATTGTGGGGGAAAGACATGGGTGGGGTGGGGTAGGCCACCCAGTATTTAAAGTTTCAGTGTGAATTGAGATATTGAATAAAATTGTGTGTGTGTGTGTGTTTAAAAATCCCATGCTACTGTACATCTAATTGCAGTGGCCTGGGCACAAATTCGCAGAGATGAAAGTATTGCTTTGTTACCGAGGTTGCTGAAAATAGACGAGAAACGTGAAAGCTTTAGAGATTTTTTTTTAATATGCAACGCTAGTGGGAAATTAAACAGACTCAAATAGCAACTTTTGCCTGATGTTGCGACCACCCAGCGGTGCAGAGTCAACCTATGTTTATTTTCATACACAACTGCAGGTTTAAAAGGCAAGAAAGCAGACCTCGGTACAGCATCGGGCTTGAACAAGACGAGACTTACATTCCACCTGGAGAATCCTTGAAAGACCTCATTGAACAGTCTCAGAGCTCGGGAAGCGGTTCTGGGCTCCCTCTTCTGGTGAGAAAGGAGTACTGAGACACGGAGACATATTAATGATAATAGCGGCATAGGAACAGAGCAGCATCGCTATCTGCAGCCCTGGTTCTGCCTAAATCTTGGTGGCCCTCCAGAAGTTGCTGGACTCCCAACTCCCGCCACCCCTGACCATTGGTCATGCTGTGTGGGGCTGATGGCAGTTGCAGTCCAGCAACATCTGGAGAGCCAAAAGTAAACCAGCATAAATGCAAAGGTTATCTGAATGCAGAAATTATGGTAACCAAAGTTGATTCAGCCTAAGGTACAGTTAGCAAAATTGCTTTATTCCTTTAGCTTTTTATTTGTTCCTAGGGGTTTGTTTTCATTGCTTCCACTGCAAGTAGTGGCAGCAGCAAGCAACCTGACCACCATTTTGCATCCTGTACGACAGTCTTAACTCTGCCCTGCAGATGCACATTGTGGCACAAGTTTGTAATTTGTAAGTAGGCTATCTTTTTTTTTGGGGGGGGGGTACGTTTTACCTCTTTTGCCAGTCTTCTCAGTTAGGAGCCTCAATAAACATCTGATGAACCCTCAAGGAAGAGGGATTGAAAACTACTGAACTCTGATTAGGATTGTAGTGCCAGTATCTGCATGGACACCTGCTCTGGTTAATGCCTAAAAGGCGCTCCATTTTTAGATCTATAGTCAACAATTCATCTTCTGCCAGTGAGCTGACTTGTTAATAAACTTGCTATCTCTATAACTTAACAGAGTGAAAAGGAAAGGCAGCTGTGCTATTCTATAAGATAAACTTCACAATCCCAAACATCATGCAGTACTTTTATTTGAATGTTCCAAGTTACCACAGGATAGTGAGCAAGCTTTCACATTCACCTGAATGCTTCATCAGGCTAGGTGTTAAGCAAACCAGGAGAGCCAGTGTGGTGTACTGTTTAGAGTGTTGGACTAAGACCTGGGAAACCCGGGTTAAAATCCTACTTGGCCATGAAGCTTACTGAGTGATGATGGACCAGTCATTGTCCCTCATGTTGTCAGGCTTGTGGTGATGATAAAATGGGGAAGAGGAGATCCATGAATGCTCTTTTGAACTTGCAGGAAAGGTGGACTATAAATAAATTCTTTAATAAAAAATTACTTCCAAGATTTTCCATGCAAATTAACATATTGTTTAATTAAAAGTACGAAAACTCCCCCAAAACATTAGTATAGCTTTGCTTTTGAAAAAAGAGGTGAAAAACTTGGGGTGATAGAAATAAAATTTATTCCAGGCACAACATGTTTTGGAAGAAAATTCTTCCTTGGGAACACGTTTCTGGCATACATTTCTTGCATTTGAGAATTACTGCTACAAATGTTTTCCAAAGGGAGGATATTTTCCCCCTGAAACACATCAGATCTGGAATCCTAATTTCTTGCACCTGGAGCTTTTTCTTTCTTTCTCTTTCCTTTCTTTCTTTCTTTCTTTCTTTCTTTCTTTCTTTCTTCCTTCCTTCCTTCCTTCCTTCCTTCCTTCCTTCCTTCCTTCCTTCCTTTCTGGTGGTGAAGATCCCCATTTTTGTGGTCGGTTTCCCACAACCTCCATTGCCTCATTCAGTGGTTGCCCAAGCAGAAGTGGCACTGTATGAGTATGGCTTATGTCTGTTTATTTATTGAACAAGATGCATGTATTGCCTAAATCAACAAACCTCTGAGAGCTTTACATACAACGATATAAATATTAATTCATAAAAAAATTCCAGTGAAGTCAAACGTTAGAAACAAGTCGATATGGAATTTATCAAGAAATAAATAAAGCCAGCAGTTTTGCATAAATCTGCATAATAAAATAAAATGTTAAAATTACATTTCTGGTTAGTCTTGTTTAAGTAAAAGCACTTTTAGCAGGCACTGAAAACAATACAGCAGAGGACCTGCCTAGTGCTCAGAGGGTGGATGTGACCATAGACTGCTTATCCCGACTTTTCAACTGCAGTGTTATGTCTATCAAACACTGAGCTCCCTCTGCTGGCGTTTTCTAGTCCTTGAGGGTGCTGTCTATCTGTGAGCAGCTTGTCTCAGCATTAGGTACTATAGTACCATTGTCTTTTCTCTTGACAGGTGCAAAGGACTATAGCAAAGCAGATTCAGATGGTGAAACAGATTGGTAAAGGTCGCTATGGAGAGGTCTGGATGGGGAAGTGGAGAGGAGAAAAAGTGGCCGTCAAAGTTTTCTTCACGACCGAGGAAGCCAGTTGGTTTCGAGAGACGGAGATCTATCAGACTGTTCTGATGAGGCATGAAAACATTTTGGGTGAGTGGCACAAACTAAAAGTAAGGCTCCTGGTTATTTAAGGCGCCCCAATTTTTAATTCTGTATTTTGCAGCTGCATACGTACATAATTTTATTTGTATACCGCCTTTCCTCAGGCGCTCAAGGCGGTTTACAACACAAAAGGAAGCCATAACTACCACATAACAAAGGTAGTCGTAAAAAATACCGTACTTTTCGCTCCATTGGACGCAGTTTTCCCCCTCCAAAAACTGAGGGGAAATGTGTGTGCGTCCTATGGAGCGAATGCAGGCTTGTGCCATAGCCGCGCACAACCCCTCTGGCAGGGAGAGGTTGTGCGCAGCCTGTACGCTGCTCTTTGGGGCTGGGGGGGGAAAAGATTTTTTTACTGATTTCCCCATCTAAAAAACTAGGTGCGCCCTATGGTCCGGTGCGCCCTATGGTGCGAAAAATACGGTAAATGAAACATTTAAAAGTACACAGCCAAACTGAACAATTTCCACGTACGTCACAAGATCCAAAATAAAGATAACAAAACAAAACGGCAAAAACCCAACAACAACACCCCTCTGCTCAAACAACACTCTAGTCCAGGCTTCCACAAACTTGGCCCTCCAAAAGTTTTTGGCCTACAACTCCCATGATCCCTAGCTAGCAGGACCAGTGGTCAGGGATGATGGGAATTGTAGTCTCAAAACATCTGGAGGGCCTAGTTTGAGGAAGCTTGCTCTAGCCCATGAGTCTGTTCAACAGCCTTAGCTTTTGTAGCTGGAGGGAGTCAGTCAGTCAGGGCTCCGTCCTTCCAGGCCAGGTGGGAAAAGGCCTGAAAGGTCTGCCAAGACGTGTATTCTGGAGTATTAAAAAGATGTATCAAAAGCCAAAGTTAGCAGTGGTTTCATTCTGACAACTTGGTTTCTTCTTAGCCCTGCTTGCTGCTTAACCTTTCATAAACAAGGTGAGAAAACACCTGTATAGCAGCTCACCTCCAAATTCCGGCTTAGACCTGGCATTGTGAGATCACTTCCCTTAAGAGGAGCTGTGATTCTGAGGACTTGCAAGTTCAGGGATTCCTCATATTTGCCCAGAGAAGGAAAAAGAAACCCATTCTTTCACAGTTTTCAGGGTCATAGATATGGTCTTCAACAATTCCTAATTTCAGTTGCTGTGCATTTGTTTTGTCCCACTGCTCAAATTCATTTGAATTTTAAAAACTGAACTAGGAACAAATTTCAAAATACTTGAGTTTTGAGTACTTGCACACAAATTTCACTCTGCACTTTAATTTCCATGATTCTGATTCCAACAAATGAATGAGGGAATCATAAATATAGCACCGAACTTCAAATCGTTGTTCATGTTCATAAAATTGAATTTACAGTAGGTTTTCAACTCCTTGTCTTTCAGCCTGAGTTTGTGTGTTTTGAGTTCAGGAATGTGGACAAGGGTTTCAAATTTGGCTAATGTAGGTAGGGCTATCCTTTTAAGTGTAACTTATGCCCCTGGTGCAATGATGGCCAAACTTGGCCCTCCAGCTGTTTTGGAACTATAGTTCCCATCATTCCTGACCACTGGTCCTGTTAGCTAGGGATGACAGGAGTTGTAGTCCCAAAACAGTTGGAGGGCCAAGTTTGGCCATGCCTGCCCTAGTGCAAAGACTTGCTTGGTGGTATTCTAGGTCAACATAGTCTTGATGCTGCAGTATCAGTTCCACATGTGTCATGGAATGTGGAGCTATAGTAACTCCACTGACTTCTCAGATTTCCAATTTGTACAAGCAGCATTGGATATGGTGTCTTCACCCTGGAATTCAAAATAAATTAACTCTGTACCTTCTTTCAAAACATACACAATGTTTGAACAGCCCTGTCTCCATTCCTCCTTGTAGGCTTCATTGCTGCGGACATTAAAGGCACAGGGTCTTGGACTCAGCTGTATCTTATCACGGACTACCATGAAAATGGATCCCTGTACGACTACCTGAAATCCACTACCTTGGATACAAAAGCCATGCTGAAGCTGGCATATTCCTCAGTCAGCGGACTGTGCCATTTGCACACTGAAATCTTCAGCACTCAAGGCAAGCCAGCTATTGCCCACCGGGACCTCAAAAGCAAAAACATCCTGGTGAAAAAGAATGGAACTTGCTGTATAGCAGACCTGGGTTTGGCAGTTAAGTTTATTAGGTGAGCAAAATACTGGGTTTTCTTGCTGAAACTTGGTTTGTGAACATGCAAAGGGAGTAGGTTTCAAAGGGGGCCTGGAGTTGGGACCTTGTGACAAGGAAGGAAACAGTGGATTGTCACATGAGCTGTTTGTGAAGGTTAAGACTGACTGTTTGAGATCATGGTGACCATCCCAACACAGAGTGAAACTCACACTCTGTAGCTGGAAATTATGGGGCAGGCAAGCCACATGCTAACTGGCTTCACACGCCACAAGTGGTTGTGGTACAGAATTGTGGTCAGCCACAAGGGAGGCTAGCATAGGTCATTGGATCTTAGCCCTAGAAACTGATGCAGCTGAGTCAGATATGATGAGATACAAATAGAACTGTATGAATGGGAGGAAACCACTGAGATTTTTGGTTAAAGCTCATATGAAGAATGGTGGTGCATAGGGCAAGCAAAATGCTCAGGAGATTGGAGCAAGCCCATTTGAGGAAAGGATGCCGTCTTTGCAGCATTTTAGATGACAAGGGGGGAAATGCAAATAAGGGAGATATGATAGAAGTGCATAAAGAAAAGCAGACAGCAGTTTTTCTCATTCTTGGTACTGGAACTCAGAGTCATCCCAATGAAGCTGTGTGCTGAGGATTGAGAACAGACTAAAGGAAGTACATAATTCAACCATGGGAGCCACTACCACAAGCTGCAGCTATAGCCATAGTTAGATAAATGCACAGAGGATAGCTACAGCTATCAGGACTACGAGTAATGATGGCTTTGCTATATATTCCTTCCAGTAGCACCTTAGAGACCAACTAAGTTTGTTATTGGCATGAGCTTTCGTGCACGCACACTTCTTCAGATACCTATCTGAAGAAGTGTGCATGCACATGAAAGCTCATACCAATAACAAACTTAGTTGGTCTCTAAGGTGCTACTGGAAGGAATTTTTTTATTTTGTTTTGACTACAGCAGACCAACACGGCTACCTACCTGTAACTTTGCTATATATGATCTCCAGTACCAGAGACTTCTGAATACTAGTTTGCTGGAGAATAATGTTGCATGTTTGCCATGCTTGTGGGCTTCTCATAAGCACTGTGAGAGCAGAATGCTGGGCTAGACAGGCCTTAGGGTTGATCTGGCAGGGCTCTACTTATGTCCTTAAGGAAAATAAAGTCTCTTTCAAGAGAGTTTATTTCAGTGCCCTGCCTTTTGTGTGTCCTCAGCTAAAGCAAGGGGTGCCAAACCAGAGCCTACGAGGCCTCAGGAAGTGGCTCACTACCCCCACAGCTTTTATCTTATCTCATGAACTGACTGGGAGATGGTATTCTTCTGCCTGCTCTTCAGTGAGGATCTCATCTCCTCCTCCCCTCATCTCCTCCAGCAGGCAAGCCCAGCGCTGCCTGAAAATGCAGCATAGGACGTGTGTAGCCTGCAGGGCACTCAAGCCCAGGCTCGCCTTGCCCAGTTGGTGGCTTGCCCCATGGGCAGCCCCATGGGCAGCTAACCCTACCTCTGCGGCATCTCGACCCACTCCCATGAGGGCGCCCTGAACAGCTAGCTACACTGCTGGTGTGAGGGGAGATGCATTCACCAGACTGGGGGGAGCAGAGTGGTGCAGCCACCTGCTGCTGGCACCCCTTAGCTCCTCCTTCCCTGGGCCAGGCGCCTTTAAAGCCTGCCAAATCCTCGCTGTGACGTGTACCTGGCAGCCCTGTTTCTTGGCCCAGCAAGGGGAGGAGAAGGTTGGCGCAAAGGAACCCTCTCCTCTGCCTTCTCCATCCGCCTGCCTGCCTCCCTCTCCGAGAAACGAAGCCACAACTTTTGGGTGCATGCGTTCACTCCCCCCCTCCCCTTGGCTCTGTTCTCTCCAGATTTTAAGCCCTTATGATGGATTAAAAATTTGGCGCCCAGAAACCGTGGCTTTAGAAGTCCGGTAAGGCCTGAATAAAGACTCTCTCCTTTTTCTGCTCTTGTCTGGTTTGATTTGCACACAGCCAGCAGGGAGGGGACTACCTTTTGCCTTTCCTCCTTATAGATCTTCCTCGTCCCACTCCCCAAAGTCTCACAGCAGAGAGGGAGGCAGGGGGCGGACTTCCTGCAGGCTCCGCCCAGCTCTCCCTGCCCTGGCCTGCGCTGCCTGGTGGGTGGTTTGCCCCACCCCTTGTGGCAGCTCACCCCCCCCCATGTGTGGCGCACGCACACAGGGGTGTGCACCGCCCCAGGAGCCTGAGTTGCTAGCTACGGCGCTGCCTCCCTGGAATTTTTCCAAATTAAGATCTATATATAAATGAACCTAATAAGATTAATAAACATATTTAAGCATGGGGAACTGAGCCCTGCTAAGAAAACAACCTTTCAGGGAAATTGGATTGCTATCTTTGGCAGGGGAGTTTCATCTTAATGCTAATGAAATCTCACAAATGTTACCAGCGACCCCTGCTGAGTCTTATCGCTGTTGTGTGTTTGCATTTGGATGCTTGATGCATCCCCAGGCATGGAAGCCTCAAAACACAAAACAAAAAAGTCCCTGGTTAAAAACTGAAAGGATCGTTTCCATTAAGGTTTTCTTTTACTTTGACCTTGCTCACAGATGGATTTAATTTGAGGTCCCTTTCTCTCCCACCTGCCCACCCTGGCCTTTCATATACAATTTAGTTTTAGGGGGAAAACGCACTCATTTTTGTCTCCTTCTGTCCACCCCCTTCATCTTTCAGTGACACAAATGAGGTGGATATACCACCGAACACCAGAGTGGGTACAAAGCGGTACATGCCTCCTGAAGTCCTAGATGAAAGCTTAAACCGGAATCACTTCCAGTCATATATCATGGCCGATATGTACAGCTTCGGACTCATCCTTTGGGAAATAGCAAGGAGATGTGTTTCAGGAGGTAAATGCCTTACAGCACTGGCGCATGTCTCTACATTACTTCAATTCTGTGTGTGTGTGTGTGTTTTAAGAGAGACAGAGAAAACCATCCGTTTCAAAGAAGTGTTGTCGCTGAACTTATTTATTCCCATTTCCTTTCTGGTTGTTAGAACTCATTTTTCCCGTCCCTGTAGGTCCTCATTTAGCCGCAAAGATTTATCCTCTCTTTTAATAGTCTCTTCTAAAGATGTAGTGTGTTTCATAATTGCAATGGGAATTTGGAGCTCATTTATGGGCACTTCCAGAATTATAAACATCAGAGCTTAAACCGAGAGCGCTCCCTTTGCTTATGTAGAAAAGGAATGGGGTTGGTTTTGTTTAGGTGCCATGATTAACAAGGAGATTACGCAGGTATGATGCAAGAGGATCAGCATTAGCAGGTGTTAGCTAGCATTAGGAAACCTGTATTGAAAAGGCATTGTTGCCTGTATAAAATTAATTCCAGACCTGGCAAGACTGGCATTTTTAAACCCAGTTCCTCCACTTTCTTGTATTTTCCTCTGCTAGATCTCCTCTGGCTGATTGCTGTTTGCAAAGCTTTCTGTTACCTGTCTAAGAATGGCAATGCAGAGATTTTGTATGCTAGCCTCGAGGCATTTGAAGAAGGAAGTTGGCTTTTATTGACAGCACTTTGACTACAGGGAACCAGAGGGCAGACTTAAGGTCATCATGGTTTTGATCTGGTTTTTAACACCAAGACTAAGCCATGAGGTTTAGAAAATGAAATTAGGAAAGGGCCTTGGAGCACGCGCAAAAAACACCTTTCAATTGCACAGCATCAAACAACTAGTTTGAGTCAGGATTAGGTCTTTCCAATGTGGAAGGTGAATTCCAGCTTGCTTTTGAATTTTATAAATTAAGCCCTGGGTATTAGTGGAAAAGATACCTACAGTTAGCCTGAGTTTTAGGACGCAGGACATATGTGGGGCAGTTCTGTGACATCTCAAGCTACTTGTTTTTGAAAGCATTTTGCAGTCACCTTTTACCTTTATATGTGGACCCACATGCTAAAATGGATTCAGCATTCACTTGGCTACTTCTTACTACCATATCCCAATGAACCTTCTCAATGAGCTTCAGTCTGCGCATGCCTATTCATTTGGGGTTTGATAAAGCACTGTTCTTAAACCTACCTGACACTGATAGAGCTAACAAATGGCACATTTTCCAGGTATAGTTGAAGAGTATCAGCTTCCATATCATGACCTTGTTCCCACTGACCCTTCATACGAAGACATGAGAGAAATAGTAGGTATCAAGAAGCTACGGCCCTCGTTTCCCAACAGGTGGAGCAGTGATGAGGTAAGAAATCATAGAATTTTAGAGTTGGAAGGGGGGGACCCCTAAGGTTCAACCCCCTTCAATTCAAAATTCAAAACTTTGAAACTTCCCAGCTTTCTTAATGCTATGTTTTCAAATGGATATTCATTGTTACTAATGAACTTACGAAATGGGATTTCCCCCTAACACCACACATCATTGCTTGTGACAAATGCCATGCCTAGTGTGGCCCTTAAGAGTTTTTGATTAATTTGATTTTACTGATGTTGGAAGTAAATACTCCAGGACCAGCATTTACAGTTTGGTATTTGAGCCTCATTAAAAAGCAAATAAAAATGTCAAAATATTGATCTTCCTTTAAAAGCCACAGTTTATAACAGAGCAGTTTCTTAGTGAAAACCAGAGTACTGAAATGTTTTAAATATACACTGAATGTGCACATCAACTCTTTGGTCTCTATAGCAGCTCAGAGCAGATTGTCACCATTTCCATCAGGCCATGGATGGAGTAACTAAATGCCTTTTCCTTGCGAGGGAGGCTCTGTCCGTGAGCTATGGTACACACTCAGGATGCAACTGATCCTTCCACCAGTGATTTTGCTCTGACGACTTTTAAATCAGAGAAAGCCAATCTGGCACCTTTCCGATGCTGTTGGACTGCAACTCTCATCAGCCCCAGCCAGCATTCCCAGTGATCAGATAGCATGGGTGTTATAGTCCAGGCATGTCCAACAGTTCAATCGCGATCTACTGGTAGATCCCTGGGAGGTTTTGGTAGATCGCGGTCAATCATTGGCTCCCTTTCCTTAGCATTGGTAAAATTGAAACCGCCCCCCCTCCATTGTTGCTTGATCTGTAGAACGGAAGACAGAGTTTACTCATCGAGGCTGTTTGTTTCCCCAGTGATTTGTTGGTGAGCGGCTGTTCCTCTTTCTCCCCCAAAGCCCTTAAAAACGGGGCTTTCCTTCCCCAAAAAAGGTCAACAACTTTGACTTGAACCCCCCAAAAACGGGGGTAGATCACTGCCAGTTTTTTATTCTGTAAGTAGATTGCAGTCTCTTGGGAGATGGCCACCCCGTTATAGTCCAACAACATCTGAAGGACACCAGGTTGTGAGAATCCTGGTCTAGTTTGATCTTTAGAGGGTGTTGGGGTAGAGCAGCTCAGCTCAAATCCAAGCCATGGCTGCAAAGGAAGAAAGGAAAAGATGGTTTCCTTTGAAGTTGAGTCACCTGATGTCATGGTAGCACCAGATGATTGACAGATGGGCCGCCTCACCTTCTTCTTGAAGTATCCCCCAGGAGGACGTGGGAGCCCAGGATTTGACCTGCCACACAGGTCCTACTCCTGTATTGATGGGAATTGTTGTCCAGCAGTATTTGGAGGATTACAGGTTTCTCACCTCTGATATTATTAATTAATTAATATGCTACTTAATTGCCAAGGTAGCTTCTAAGCAGTCTACAAGTATAAAACCGATTTCAAAACATTTAAACACACATAATTGCCACTAAAGGGACGCGGGTGGCGCTGTGGTCTAAACCACTGAGCCTCTTGGGCTTGCCAATCAGAAGGTCGGCTGTTCGAATCCCCGCGGTGGGATGAGCTCCCGTTGCTCTGTCCCAGCTCCTGCCAACCTAGCAGTTTGAAAGCGCAAAGTGCAAATAGATAAATAGGTACAGCTCCGGTGGGAAGGTAAACGGCATTTCCGTGCGCTGCTCTGGTTCGCCAGAAGCGGCTTAGTCATGCTGGCCACATGACCCGGAAGCTGTACGCCCTTTCCCTCGGCCAATAAAGCGAGATGAGCGCCGCAACCCCAGAGTCGTCCGCGACTGGACCTAACGGTCAGGGGTCCCTTTACCTAATTGCCACTAAAACAATTTCATTAAAATAGACACCTGTGGTTTAAAATGTGCAATGAAACAAGCCAATTAAAACGGGGTTCAGGTCCTGAGATAAGGGGGCACGCTTGTCTAAAAGCAGGTGGGTCTTCCAAGTGCCCATGGAATACTAGTACATTACATTGTATACAAGGCAGTGTGCATAATCTTACGAATATGTTATATACAGTGGTACCCCGCAAGACGAACGCCTCGCAAGACGGAAAACCCGCTAGACGAAAGGGTTTTCCGTTTTGGAGGCGCTTCGCAAAACGAATTTCCCTATGGGCTTGCTTCGCAAGACGACAGCCCATAGGGAAATCTCCGGGACAGCGGGGAAGCGCAGCGCGTCTTCCCCACTGTCCTCGGACCTCCTCCGAAGCCTGGCGGCGGGGCGGGGACACCTCCTCCCGCCGCCGCCGGGCTTCGGAAGGCTCCCCGCCACCCACCTTCAGATCAGGTCTGGGGACAGCGGGGAGACGCGCTGCGCCTCCCAGCTGTCCCAGGAGCTTGCGGTGCAGGCAGCAGGGAGAAGCGCTCTTCTCCCCTCCGCCCGCCTTCAGATCAGGTCCGGGGACAGCGGGAAGACGCGCTGCGTCTCCCAGCTGTCCCAGGAGCTTGCGGGGCAGGCAGCGGGGAGAAGCGCTCTTCTCCCCGCCGCCCACCTTGAGATCAGGTCCGGGGACAGCGGGGAGATGCGCTGCGTCTCCCTGCTGTCCCCGGAGCTTGCGGGGCAGGCAGCGGGGAGAAGCGCTCTTCTCCCCGCCGCCCGCCTTCAGATCAGGTCCGGGGACAGCAGGAAGACGCGCTGCGTCTCCCCACTGTCCCCGGAGCTTGCGGGGCTGGCGGCGGGGTCTCCCCGCCGTCAGCCTCCAAACCACTTCGGGAGACAGCAGGATGGCGGCGTTCCGCTTCCCTCTGTCCCCCGACCTTGTGGTGCTGGCGCTGGGGCTCTCCTGAAGCCTGGAGAGCGAGAGGGGTTGGTGCGCCGCCCGGCTTCAGAACGATGCTCCGAAGCAAAGCGGCGGGGCGGGAACACCTTCTGAAGGTGGGCGGGGGGCGAAAGTCTTTGTCCCCCCTGCCTGCCTTCCCAGGGGCTTTTAAATCGCCCCGGACAGCGGAGAAGTCCTCCGCTGTCCCGGGGCGATTTTAAAATGCTGGGGGTGGGAAGAAAAGCCCTTGTTCCCCCCCCCCAGCCTTCAGAAGAGGTCGGGGGACAGACTGTCCCCGGACCTGGTCTGAAGTTGGTTTCCATAGGAACGCATTAATTGATTTTCAATGCATTCCTATGGGAAACCGTGCATCGCAAGACGAAAAACTCGCAAGACGAAGAGACTTGCGGAACGAATTAATTTCGTCTTGCGAGGCACCACTGTACATGTATGTACGCTGCTTTGTAAGCCCCACCAATAGGGTACTAGTGTCTGTAAAAAGGAAAAACAAATTGGGAGGGGAATTGAAAGCCTGTGTGTTAGTCTTCTGTCTCTCAATTCCACTTTTTGTCAATTAATATAGGAAATTGCTTTTCAAAGCTGTAGTGGTATTTTCCTTTAGGGGAGGGAGGAAGTTGCCTGAACACTTTCCACAGAGAATTTATAATGAAGCAAAATTGTGTTTTGGAATCAGTAGACCAGTAATTGATGTACCGCAGACAAATCTGCCGACAGTTATGGTGATGCTATGCAGAGGTCATTAATCTTGTTAAGTGGTACAGTGTAATGCTATTATTGTAGGAGGCAGCTGTGATTTGGGAATAGCAGTCTTCACTTAAGTATTCTGCAATTAGATTTAAAAATACTTAAATGGCAAGAGTTGTAAACAATCTTGAGTGCGTTGGGGAGGGTCGCAGAGGGGGGATGCAAAAACCAACAACACCCAAAACACTACCACACACACACAACCACACACACACACCCAGGAGAAAAGAATGATCTAGCAAAGCAGATTGAGAAAATTTGGTATATTTCCCACCACAGAATAAAAAGAGTTTTGTGGGCGCCACTGACTTCCTACAGTAACTTACTATCCTTCAGAGTGCTAACCCATTCTTTGACTTAAAGTAGCGTAACAGTGAAGCCATGCATCTCTTGCTGCAGTAAGAGCTGCTGTACACGACTCTCTTCCATTCATTAGCAGGGTGCAAAGGTGAAAAACCTGAAGGCCGGGCTCAGAGCGGCTTACAAGCAATAATAAAAACAAGTTGAATGATTACAACTTAAAAACAAAATTAAAATACAACATTAAAATATTAAAATGTAGCCTCATCGCAGGAGGAATCATAGAATTGGAGAATTGGAGAAGGAAAGGAAAAAAGAGAGGGAGGGAATCAAATTGGCTCCAAGCCAAAGGCCAGGCGGAACAACTCTGTCTTACAGGCCCTGTGGAAAGAAATCAGATCCCGCAGGGCCCTGGTCTCATGAGGCAGAGTGTTCCACCAGGCCGGAGCCAGAGTTGAAAAGGCCCTGGTTCTGGTTGAAGCCTATCTAACTTCCTTAGGGCCTGGGACCACTAGAGTGTTGCTATTTATGGACCTTGAGGCTCTCCGTGGGGCATACCGGGAGAGGCGGTCCCGTAGGTACAAGGGTCCTAGGCCGTGAAGGGCTTTAAAGGTCAAAAGTAGCACCTTAAATCTGACCCTGTACTCCACCGGGAGCCAGTCTAGCTGGAAAAGCACTGGGTGAATATGCTCCCGTGAGGAGCCTCGCTGCAGCATTCTGCACACTCTGGAGTTTCTGGGTCAGCTTCAAGGGCAGCCCCGCGTAGAGCGAATTACAGTAGTCAAGCCTGGAGATGACCGTCACGTGGACCACTGTATTATATATATAATCTGTCCCATAATCCAATTAGCTGTGAGGGTATGTGACTGTTTTGCTTGTTTTGAATTGTTCTTACATGTTTGATTTTATTTTTAATTGTATTGTTCTACTGCTTTGATGGTTGCTAGGCCTGGGCTTCTATCTATCTATCCATCCATCCATCCATACACAAACACACACATACCTGCATTCTAGCACACATTGCCTTGATCTTCTGTTCCTTATTCAGCAATGCTAGTGACAAGGATCATACAGCATCAAGACTAATTGTGCAGATACAGGCTGTGTACACACCATACGTTTAAAGCACTTTGAAAACTCCTCAAGAATCCTGGAAACGGTAGTTTGTCGTGGGTGCTGGGAATTGTAGCTCTGTGAGGGTTAAACTGCAGTTCACAGGAACCACTGTGGGGGAATCCATATGTTTGGTAAATGTGGTTTAAATGTATGGTATTTACGCAGCCACAATACCACCCGTCTAGTTGTGAACCATGCCTTGGGGCAGTGTGATTGCATATTGTCCTGCTGTACATGAGGCCTATAACGGATGGGGCAGAATTCCATGCTCAGTATGAGTTCTCAATTAGGTTCATTTTCTTTCTTTCCAGAGTAGTGTTTGGCTTTCAGCCAAGATTAAACCTTTAAGTGTGTGTGTGTGTGTGATGCATTCATATGTTTTCTTTCTTCCTCTAGTGCCTAAGACAAATGGGCAAACTCATGACAGAATGCTGGGCTCACAACCCTGCTTCTCGGCTCACAGCTCTGCGAGTGAAGAAAACTCTTGCCAAAATGTCAGAGTCACAGGACATTAAGCTCTGATTCGGCTGAAGAAAGGCACCTCTTTGCTAAATCTCAGAAAAATGGACTTTCCTTCATGTTTCAAAGAGACAGGAAGAGGAATTACAAGACTTCGCTAATATAAACCTTGAATGCAGTCTTTCGGCAAATAATCTTCCACTCCGGCGCAGAGGTCATTCCAGGAGAAAGAAAGCAACGCGGCTCCATCAAGTTTGGCTCCTCAGCTGCCGGATGAGAAGACCTTTGGCCTCTTTTGGAAGCGGTGGGAGAAACAGTTATCGATAACTGCTTCAAGATTATGCATGCTGCTTTCTGTGAAAGCCCCTAATGTTATTAATATTAATATTATTATTATATTTGGACTGTTTAATTTTCATAAAAATGAACCTTTGCAAATACAAAGTACAAGAAAAGAATTATATTGTTACTCTAAAGCGGAGTGGGGGTGGAGGAAAGTCAAGCAAAATTGCATCTGAAGTCTAAAACAAATTGGTTATGATTTCCTGCTGATGAAAGACTGTTGCACTCCCAAGGCAACACACTATGTTGTGAAAGAAAAATATAATAGAAATATAAGTGATCGCCTATACAAATTTGATTTTGGGCAACATATATGACGTGGTGTTCTGATTATTTTTTTGGACTACAACTCCCATCATCCTACTCTGGCTGAGGCTGTTGGGAGTTGTAGTCCAACAACATCTGGAGGGTACCATATTGGCTGTCCCTGATGCAAGCTGTTCCTGATAGATAGACCGCATTCTCGATGGGAATCGGTAGATATGCTACCAAGCAGTTTCTTGTGCACAGTAGGCCCAATGATCCATCAGTGTCCCTTGTATAAGCCCTTCACATTTCAGGTTTATTAAAGCAACACCGTTAAAGGCATCTAAGGTAAGGAACATTAGATGTGAAAGGTGGAAGACAATGGAAAAAACCCTAATCAAGCTCAAGTGATACCAAGCACCCTTTACCTTCTATTATTTGGGGAATTTTTTCCTGGCATTTTACACGCAAAACAATAATTCTGAAATTGGTGTGAATTAAAGTTTGGTAGAATATGGTGTTATACGCACTAACCTTTCCTTAAGGCAAAGTCCCTGATTGATGAAACGGCTGACCAAGTTGCATTGCATACTGTTTGCCTTAAGAGAATTAAGAAAATGAAGAGTATTGACAAAAGGACGCGCTCTGTTCAGCGTGCGCCTGGAAATGGTAACTTGCCACTAACGGGGTAGAAGAAAACTGCACTGTGTTTCTAAACACATGTAGGTGAGCATTGCTTTGGAAAGGAGGGGTTTTTATTTTTTTATGACTTCTCAAAAATATAATTTCCTTTTTAATTTTAAAAGGAAATTGAGAGAGGTTTTTCTAAAGTGAAGGGGATTTTTATGTATTGGATTATTGGCCCACATGCTTTATGGGAGCAGAACGTTTTCTTTTTTAATTATTGTTTTAAAAATCAGATTCTACTGGAGGAGTACTGAATTCCCAGGTTTTCTCCTCTGCAATTCTAGTCAAAGAAGCACTCACTGAGACTCCTATTTTGGTTTTGAGGTGAACTTATTAGGTATTTTGCATGCACAAGGAGTTGGGGGACTCTTCTTCCTCCTGCAGCACCCAGTTCCCCAGAATGTGAGTTGGCACACCCTCCAAAATTTGGCAAGTTTCCATATGCATGCAGAAGGCCTTTTTGCTTGCATAAGGGCGCTTTCAGTCCTGTCCTACCTTCAGAACCTTCCCTGAATCCCCTGAATTTGGCCTGTCTTCTGTAAGGGCTACCATGTTGTTGTTGTTTTAAAGTAATACACTAAAGAAATAGAACTATAAATGGGATAAAATAATTTGTAGCATCATAGCTAGCAAAATATGCTATGTGTATTCCTCCAGTTACAAGTTTTAAAAAACATTGCAAGTTTTTCTTAAAGGCACACATAATTATCAAACAAAACTGCATAAAATTCTGACCATGAAGTTCTAGGTTGCTGAGCTGTTTTTCACTTTGGAAAATTAAATGTAGGTTTGAATTGTTGAGCTGTTATGTTATATTTGTCATTTGACAGTCCCTTTAAGGTTATTTTGAAGCCTGCAGAGGGCACTGTGCAGCTTCAGATTCCCAGTGCAGTGGGAGCCGTAGGTTGTTGTAAGTTGGAAGTGCATACCCTCCCCAAAGAAAATCCACTTAAATAGGCTGGATTCCACATGCATAACAGTCAGTGCTCCCTCTCTCTTTGCAAGGGTAGTGGAAGTAAGAATTTAAGACGCTGGGAAAAAAGTATACTGTGTGAAGTTAATTTTTTGGTGCAAAATATTGGAGCTGACTGATAGATTGATGCAGTTTCAGACTCTGAACTTCAGAGAGAAATATGGATGGATGGGGGAGATATGTATTTCCCCCTGACATAAAAGTTTAAGGCTGTAGTCCAGTGGCTCCTGGGAGGGTATTTCAGAGGCCAAATGATCTCCCTTGCTGACGTCAGAGAGCATACTCTTAATAGTGGAGCAGGAGATCCAGTTTCAGATCCAAATCCAAAACATCTGAACCCCTGGCTGACTGAATGTTGGAATTCCAACACTGAAAGGCCCAATGGGACAAAAGCTGTTGGAGACTTGGGACCATCAAACACATTGGAAGTAGGAATCCAATGCTATCTCAGCCACTTGACACTCATGAATTGGACAGAAATACAGATTAGCTCAGGAGCTAGTTTAAATCTCTTTCACTGATTTCCTTTCATGCAATCAGAAAAGCATTTTAAGTTGCAGAACCGAAGAGCAAAGGCGTGTCTCTCCTCCCTCGCTCCTACCATGCCTCTTGAGAACCTGGTAGGGTTTTAGATAAGATAGTTCAACCACCTTTGGTTTCTACCTATTCACCCTCACTTTAAGATTGCAGCCTAGGTGGGTAATAACAGAAGAATTTCCACCTCTGATCCCTCCTGTAAGTATCGTACAGGGAGCCATCTGTAAAGATTCCTTGCTCAAGCACAGCCACAAACCCTCCACATACTTCAAAACCTGAATGGGCTTAGTGCTGCATGCAGTTAAGCGTGGGTGATTCTCATCGATTTGGGGGTAATTTATGGGCTATTCTGAAAGCAATTTGACTTCTGGAGCCATTAGTTGTTTTTACATGAACATTTCTGTTCCAAAACAGAGTCAATCATGCACAAAGCTAGTTTCTTCAGAAGTTGTCCTCTTCTTTCTCTTGGGTGCCTTGTGTCTTGACAGGTGGCACCATAAATCACCTCTGCCTTCAGTGGTGATTAGTTAATGGAGGTTAAGAATGCATAGCACTAAGGAGTTTTCTGACATGGCTGGGACCGAGAAGTGGGGAAAGCCCATTTAAACTCTCACTGGATGAGAAATGGGAGTCCACAGGATCTCCCTTCCCATACCATCTTTAAAAATGGATGTCACAGCTCTTCCCTGTTGTGCAGTGTGAATCCCACCCCCGTATATTTGGAGTAACTTTGCTTGCACTTAACAATTATGAAAACAGCAAGTTTCTGCAATCATTGAAAATTTGAAGATGGTGCCGCTTAAGCAGATAATGTAAAAGTGATTGCTCCTACTCACCCAAGGAAAGCTGGATATTTGTCTCCAGCACAATATTTGCAGCCAAATCATAGAACCCTGATAGCGGCTAAAATGGGATTAGATGGATTATGTGTGCTGTTCAGTCTGTGGTAAGCCAGTCACACAATTCACAGCCACCAGAGTTCCCAGAAAGTGATTGAGCATTTGGGTGGTGGTTGGGGGGATGAATTTGCAGTGAGAATAGTTGAAGATTGGCAGACAACAGATCATATTGCCTCACCAGCAGCTGAACTGCAAAAAAATGGGCATGTGCAGTCCCCATTATTCAATTCAGACTGAATAATTAAAATAATTCCCCCCCCCTTCTCATTTTATTAAAAAAGGAATTTAGGACTTTCTTTTCCTTTAACTTGAGGCTGACTCCACAGAGGGCACAAATAATTTTATTTCACTATGATTCAAACACAGGGCCTTAGTAGTTACCTGAGTTTTTGGATTTTCCAAATACTTTAAAGATGCAAAGCCTTTTCTTCTATGGTTCCTGAAGTAAATTGACTTTTGGATGCCAGGGTCCATAAGCCCTATATTCTTATTTTTAAAAATATATATATATAAATCTGTTGAGATGTTCAGGTTTGCATTTTAAAGAAATATTTGTGTGTGTCTGTGTGAAAAAATATATATATCACAGTTGGGAGTGAGGTCAACCCCATTATGTGGATCTAGAGTAAAATATTACAGATGATGAAGCACTAAGCGAAGTGTTTATTTATGAAAACATGTAGGCTGACAATTCATAGTGACAATGTAATAGGGAAGAAGAGAGGCATTAGTACTGGAGTGAAAAGGGCATAATGACATAGTTTGTTTGCTTCAGGTTTGCTGCAAGACTTGGAAGGGCCTGTTTCCCCCTTCATCTCTTACGTTAGCTTTTCTGAAGTCAGATTTTGCAATGTGGTTGTTCAAAATGACAGAACGCATCCTTAGCCAGTGTTGCAAATTGGCTTTAGCACCAATATTTTATTTGACCACATAGTTATTCACTAAGATTGCCAAACAGTAATTCTTCTGTTCCAGTAGCAATTTGAGCTATGAACCTTAAAGATGATGTCCCTGTTGGCCACTAGTCTAAGAATTCACCATTTTTTAGGTCTTCAAATATCTGACATAGTTAATAGTTAAATATAGACACCAGAATTTTTAAAGGAGAGCTTTTCAGGGAAATATAGATTAAAATGTGTAGCCTGTGAAACTACCTTAATGACATTTATGTTGGGAAGAGAGGAGACCAAGGAGAACAATAATCTTGCAACTGTTAGTCCTTTGCTGACACAGCACAAACTTTCTTTTGAAGAATGGTTGACAATGTAATTTTTTTCTTGATACTGATTTGTGTTCTTTTTTGAGAACCAGTGCCTTATTCAATCTGTAAATACTGTAATTGTTAAAAAAGAAAGAAAGAAAGCACCATCTAGGGAACAAGCCTGTATTGTAATTGTTCAAAGTGGTATATGTCTGTCTTAACATTCCCTAAATAAAGCGTTTTAAGCTCCCTGTTTAAAAACAAAACAATTCTCTTTGAAATAGTTTGGCTTCTTTGTAATGTCTAGCATTATTGGTCAATGATAGATGTGTTGGCTGTGTCAGGTGCCGTGCTTCTTATTAAAAGTGTCTTCATTTAACTAGCAAGCAGGAAACTGCACAAATTCTCTCCCCAGTTTTTAATGAGTACCAAGCATGGGGTGTGTGCTTTGCCTGCGGTCCACTGAGCCTCTTCAAGAGCTGGTTTGGCACAGGAGAGTCAAAAATGGCAGGTATGGAATCCTGTCGCCTTCAAGGTGTTGGACTCCAGTTACTAACTTTCCTGACCATGGGAGTTGGAGTCAGGTTCAGGGACCAGAAGTGGTCCTCCAGGAATCCCCTGGATTGTCAACAGGCCATACCTCCCTTCCCAGGCCTCACCCTACAATGGTGATCTCTGGTTTCAAGTGTTTCCTTCCCATAATCTTGGCCAGCTACTTGCCAAGGTCATTTATATATAGTCGGGGAAGACAGTGTGTTTTGGCCCATGTGGGGTAGTTTGGTTTTGTGTAAAACAGAGGCGAAAGCTGGGGTTAAGCTAGCATTGAGACAGGGCTATATCGCTAAAGGTTTATGCATTCCGAACCAGTTTTAAGTGGATGTTTTGTGTGTGCATCTTTAATTTATTGCTGCTTCCCACAAGCCTCTTCTGATTTTTATCCTCCACTTCACATCTATATTTTATTGCATGTGCATTTCATTTCTGCCAGTCACTTTGGTGCTTTGACCACAAGTGAGCTCTGTTTCGGACTTGTGCGAGGGTGGACAAAAAAGTGGCCAACCAAAATGTCAAAAATATTTTGGAGCCAAATCAATTTTCAAATCAGCAGCACTTTTGTGGTGGGATGTCATGCATCCCCCAGCTGCTGCCTTTTTCTTCCCAGAAGCCGGTTATCTGACCTCTTTGGCCCTTCCTGCTTGCTTTCTTCACTTCCCTTCTGTTTAGCCCAAGGGAAAGTGTTGCAATGAGTTGTGGTGTAGGATTCCCCTTGCCCTGCCAAACCTCAAGGGATTGAAGACGAAATGCAGGGCACCAATCTAGCATCACAACTGGCCTCCAAAGGCCCACTTTCAGCCATGCCTAAGGTTATGCCTGATCAGCAGGGTTTAATTACCTACCTCAATTTCTTCTGTGCAAGACAATGACATCGGATTTGTACTGTGGACCAATCTTATATTTGCATACTCATTTGCTTTTGCACCCTGTCCATCTGAATGCTTTATAATAATGCCACACACTTCATCAGGATATTGGTTTGGCTGCATCCTGCTATTGATTTTAATGTAAAACACCCATTGCATTGGGGGAGGAATTTCCTCCTATAGATCAATGTGAGGATGTAGTCTATAATGTAGTGCCATAGAACATAAAGAACCCTAGTTTTGAATACAGGCACTTTCTTCAATGAAGCAGGGAAATACTGGGTGAGGGGAAATGGGGGCTGTGTCATTAGTGTATCTCCTTGTGATAAATAGGGGGAAGCTGGAGCTCAGTAGTAGCACATCTGTTTTGCATGCAAAAGGTCGCAGGTTCAATCCCTCACTTTTGCAAGTAGAGCTGGCAGATATTCCTGCCTGAAATGCTGCAGAGCTGCTGTCAGCCAGTGTAGACAATACTGAGATAGATGCTCCAATGGCCTGACTCTATAAAGGTACCTTTCTATGTACCTAAGTGTTTTCCAAGGAGACCATCATTTGTAAACTGTACTCCTTGCGGGTTGCTCCCTCAAGTCTGCAAACCTACACATGTGTGTGCTTTAGACACCCCCTTTCCTGTAATCCCATCCCTGACTGTGCTGAGCCACTATTAGCCTTTGGCTCATTAAACCATCTATGGCCTTTTAAATTGTTACTATGCTATTATTTTGTGCTTTTATATTGTAAATCACTCTGTGATCCTTGGAATGAAGGGCAGTTCAGAAAAATAAGAAATAACCAAACTCCTTTCTCTGCAAGAGAGCATGCACTGGTGCCTAAAAGGTAAAACCACTAGGCAAGGATAGCCATCATGCTGTCTTCCAGATGTGGACTGCAACTCCCATCATCCCTGATCATTGGCAATGCTGGCAGAGGCTGGTGGGTTTTGTAGTCCAAAACACCCTGGGGAGGGAGCACCATATTGGTTACCGCCGTCCTAGAACCTTGAAGCTCTAAATCCTGCTTCTTCCTATTTGTGGAGATAGCTGACTACTTGGTGATTAGAGACAATGCTTATAAGTCATACAATTGTAGAGTTGGAAGGACCTTAAGGGTCATCTAGTCCAATTCCTACAACGCAAGAATAATGCCATCTCCTGTTCAAGTGCTCAATGGTGAAATTAACAATAGAGTATTGGTTTAAATCATAGATAGGCAAATTAAGGCCCGGGGGCCAGATCCAGCCCAATCGCCTTCTAAATCCAGCCTGCGGATGGTCCAGGAATCAGCATGTTTTTACATGAGTAGACTGTGTCCTTTTATTTAAAACGCATCTCTGGGTTATTGTGGGGCATAGGAATTTGTTCATCCCCCCCCCAATATAGTCCAGCCTCCCGCAAGGTCTGAGGGACAGTGGACCGGCCCCCTGCTGAAAAAGTTTGCTGGCCCCTGGTTTAAATCATCTGCTAAAATTCTGATGAGAGATCCCACTATAATAGGCTAGATAGATCAATCGAAGACCTGTGCAAAATGATCCACCAGCTGCCTCTTGTGGTTTGTGCAGTTTTATGCTAGCAAATCAAAATGAAGTCTACTTGATCCCTGCCTCTGGCCTATGAGAGTAAATGGGATCAGTTCACATACTGGAAAGCCATTTTGTCTGCAGCATGGTTCCATTTCTCCCTTGTTTCCATTGCTTCTTCCCGCCCAGGTGTTGCAGGAATTTGGCAATGAGCCACACTTGATGCACAGGGGCTGGGCCATCACTGTATCTAATGGGCCTCTTGAGTTCCAGTGTTTTACTGCATTTAAATGATGCCAAGTGAAAAGTGGAAGTTTTGTAATACTGTAATGAGGAAGCCAACTGGGAAACAGCATGGCAAAACAATTACTTTTTAACTCTGATTTATACTCCTTTGATTTAAGCAGAACAAAGCAAGACATTTTGAATGCATAAAAAAGCAGGTGTCTTTCAAGCTACAGAAAGATTTCTGATACAAAAGAGTATGTGGTGTTTGGGGCTCCAGAGGGCTGATCTGACTGGAAAAACAAATGCCTAATTGTCTTGTGAGCTCAGAAGGTTTGGGAGGGCAGGGGGAGGAAGGGTGAAAGAAGTCGACACAACTGCTTTGATTTTCTGTAAGGGGTAGCTTCTTCATTTATGTTCTGGGTCCCACTGGTAATCTATTCATGTGTTACCTCTATACGGTATTGTGGACTAAATGTTTTATAGGGAAAAATAACATTTAATAGCACATTTTTGGAGGAAAAGTTCCTGAGGCCTTGACTAATCATTGCCATATTCAACAGCTGGCAGTGTTTGCCACAACTTGATATTTATTTATTTAAAAAATAATAATGCTCTGAGCAAGTTTGGGAGGAAGCTGGTGAAAAGCACAACATTTGGTTTGCTTGCAAAGAGGTTATATGGGGTCACATCAAGCAGTTTTTCCTCCCACACTTTCCAGTGCTTCCTCCCCCCATCACTTCTCTTACTGCAAAAAGTCCAGGGGTTTATTTATTTATTTTTGAGAAGCAGATTTGTTGTGCAACAGCACCAAACCCATTTATTGTGCAACCTAAAATAGCGGATATGAAATTGAATATGTTAGCATCTGTCTTTCTTGAGAGACAATGGAGTGCACCTTTGGGGGTGAAGTCAAACCACTGCCCACCAGCAAAACAGCAAGTGTGTTATTGACCTTAGGCTGGAAATGAGGCTAAAGCAGATATTTGTGTGTGAACAACAGGTTTCTTCGCCAGTGATGGAGAGGAAAACAAGTTATGTCCCTGCAGACAAAGGCAGAAGAAGATGCTTTCTCTGGTCACTAAATGAAAAGACACATAGGATTTTTTTTCCACTTGCTTATAAATATAATTTATAACCTGTTTAAAAATTCTTTCTTACACTTTGTACATGTCAGGCTGACAGCATAAATGCAGGCATTTACAAACGGAGGGCAGAAGAAAAAACGGGGAGAAAGGGACAGAGGCACACTCTGAACTAGTAAACTACACTTCCACTGTACAGCAATACAAAGAAATGCAATGGCTAGCACTTTGCTCTGTTAGTTAATCTTTAGAAAAAGGAATTGCATAGAAGATACAGCAATAAGGGAGATCAAACCAAACACTTTCCCATAGCTGATCAGCAAAACAATAAACAAAGACCACCCCCAGCACAAACTAAGTAACGCTGCTATGGTTCAGCTCTGAGATGCAAAAAGTTGAGAAACAAAATTCTCCTTCCAAGCCTGGACTAGACAGCCATTCATTTCCACTCTGCTTGCCCATTCCCACCCTGCTGCCAAGGTTGCATTTGCCTGCGCTTAAGGCAGGTATCAAATGCCTAAGTCTTCTTACTGCTACTGCTCAGTAATAGGTTGAAAGAGCATCGCTCAGCGAAGGAAGTCACATACATAGATGCCATAATATGAGCCTCAGGAGAATCGTATGTCTTAGTGCCGATTATGTTCAGTGCCCTCTCAGAAAGAGGGGTTAGAAGCTGATGTGTGGTTAGGGATTTATTTTTGGAAATGATGATTTGCAAAGACCAAGAAGGAGAATGAAAGTGAGCACCGTGTGCAGCTTTGCTCGGTATTATCTTGTTTGCTCGGTTGCATTATTTTCCTCCCTCCCCTTATCTCCTGGGTTTATATTATAGCCAGTCTGTGGAAATAGTTGTGTGTGGACCACACAAGCTCAGCTAAACAATGCAACAATGGTTTATCCCAGGAAATGAGACATCCCACTCCCACCAGTCTCAAAAGGAATTGCCAAAGGAAGTGACATTTGGTTTCATAAACCTGGAAGGAAATTCAAAATCATTAGATAAGGATGCCGCCTCTGTGGTTTCCTT